ATAATTATGGCGACATTCCCTGTTGGGATTCGAACCCACAGAGTTGAGGGGCAAGTGGTTCAGAACTGTTGCCATGGCAGCATTCAGATGATTGTTGGTTATATGGCTTTAACAGCTGCCATACAATGAAATTATAGGACTTCAGATTTATGGCTTAATTAATTTCAAAAATCAATAGATTGAAAACTAGAAAATGAGATGGAAAATTGTAAGCTGTCAAGCAGGGCCCTACTTAATACTTTCTTTGTGATAAAAAGACCTTCTACAGTGTTTTTTCTCAATTAATTACTTTATTTTTTTTTATTTTTTTTTTTTTTAAATTGTCAATAAAATTGCTCATGAATTAATTTTGATTTTATTTTTGCAATGACAGGCTTTGTCTTTAAAAGACTGTTGTATAAAGTGAACATTTTTGGCATTTCCTTTTACTCGATGTCATAATACCAGTCTGGTAGTATTTTTAGAAGGTTTTTTACAGGATTTTTCTGCCCATTAACTAACAGTCTTTTAAAATTCATTAATTGATCTTGTAAAATATAATTATAGATTACACCAGGGCCGTAATTATCTTATTATAAGGGACAGGGGTTAGTGCCCTCAAGTAGGGGAATTTCGAGTTGTTTTGAAGAAAAAGGGGAATTGTCTGCAGTGTAAACAAGAATGCTCACAATGATAAGTATTAGTATTATATTTAGCAAAACAAGTGAACTTCAATTTGCTATTGTTAAAGTTCTTCTGCTTGAAGGAGGTAAAATTGAAAAAAAAATAAAAAAAAATAAGGGGATTTTATAAAAAAAGAAATAAGAAGGGAAAAATAAATGTTTTAATAAGGAGGGAAATAGGTTGAATAATGCAGCCCTAAAAATTATGAAATGATGGCCCTGTATTGTTAAAAGAAACAATAAGAAAAAGGAACCATTCAATATTATAACTAAAATAGAAAAAGGAACAATTCAGTATTATAATAACTAAAATTTGAAAAGTGCAAAGTTTGACATAATTTATCGTTATTAGCTATTATGTAAATTGAAGCAAGTACGCTGAGAGAAATTGAATTTTTTTAATAATACCAAGAAAGTTTTGGGAAGCTGTTGTATGAAGTTAAAGTGCATTTAGACGCTGACCTTACATATACATGTAAATTATATCGACCATTCGCTGTAGTTCTTGCCTAGACAGTGTAATGTCCTCTGTACATGATGCAGACATAGTAATAGAAGTATTGTTTGTATTGGTGATAAGTATACAGTTTGCTAAAAAATATGTGGGGGGGAAAAATAAAGTGTACAAAATTAATGTACATGTATATAATTATGAACCTTCCCTTTACTGAATTTCAAACTGGTACTTTATTACCTTAACCTTGTCCTCGAAGACTGCTGGCAGCGATTATAAAAAACTATCTATGCGATCAATGCAGACCAAAATCAGCGAACTCGTATGTGCCACCTGATCATTGTCTGCACTGTTTGCTGTTCAGTCGGCAGTTATTTAAAGATTTTTTCCCTAAAAATGATTAATGGTTTTGTCCAGATTAAAAGATGGAGGACAAGTCCATTCATGAAAATGTGGGGGGAAAATAAGTGTAAAAAATTAATGTACATGTATATAATATGACCTTCCCTTGTACTGATTCAAATGTCTTTTTACTTACTTGTCCTCGAAGACTCTGCAGGATTATAAAATATTATGCGTCAATGCGACCAATCAGCGAACTGTATGTGCCCCGTTGTCTGCATGTTTGTGTTAGTCGCAGTATTTAGAAGATTTTTTCCCTAAATGATTACATGGTTTTTCCATTTAAAGATGAGACACTATTCATATATAACTGGGATTAACTGACCTTTACCACCATGCATTATGGAGCCCTGCCAGGCTGCAGTGAGCTCAATCGTAAGGTTGGGTGATCAGCCTAATTAAATATCCCCAAAATCTATAATAAACTGTTCCCAAATACAAAAATGGCAGCTCACTGGACAAGACCATTTAAAGAATTCTGCAGGTTATTTTTAGTTAAGAGTTGAATGTGCTAACAACTTTTGCCTCATTATGAAGTATAGATATAAATAATAAGAATATGATAACAACTTTTAGTTTATACTAATTTATTTTAGTTTGATAATGTTGGCAGCTATAAGCTAATTGAAACACTCTCGATTTCTAGAACAACTTTTGCCTCATTATGAAGTATACCGTAGATAAATTATAAAAAACTGAACAATAAAAAAATTACTGATGACAAGTGTGATGATAAGTACGACAATAACAGCGTAAAAATATATCGAGGGAAAGTGTAAAATTTTAAACCCGAGGTAAATGATGTGTAAAATATGAAATAACAATAAGTAACCACAAAAAGCACTTGGCAAACCTTATTTACATCTGATCTGATAGTCCATTGGATGAAAGCTAGGTGAACGACGAGTCAAAAAGGTCTCGCATTTAATCTTTGTTGACTGAGTATTGGAAAAGTTCTGGATTTTAAACCGTTATCGACTTTTTCAGTGGCCTTCAGACTTGTTTATATCGTGAATTGCCTGAATACCGTAAATGCGCATATTTTAGTTGTCTTCATGGAATAAAGTTTGGTGATAGAGTTATGATGTATTATATAGTCATAAGTGCTGGTGTAATGCCATTAAAACGGGCTAATCAATTTTTGTTATCTGTATTATTAATGTTATCAGGGAATTGATTGTCGGCATTTCAAGGCAAAATATCGGTGATATATCACTTAGATGACCTTGAAATGCACAAAAGCAAAGGATATCCAGATTTATAACAACAAACATTGATCATTATTTTACCCAATACAATTATGTCGTTATGTGTCTACAAAATAAAATAGTCAGTTTGGCTTTCAAATATCCCATCGTTGTTTTGCTGGTAACCAACACTTCTTAATGAGTGCAAAGGAACTACTTTTGGTCATAACTAAACACTGAACATCATAAACGATTTACAATGGTCAGCATTTGATCAATAATAAATATCTTTCTAACTACCCTATAATTTAGCAGAATAAACAATTAAGAACCATATATAAGATTCAGGCATATTTTTACTAAATTCAAAATTATCACAACAAGTCGATTATAAAAAATACAGTAAGAACAAAGCAGTTGAGACGTAATTGAATTTTCAGTACAATCACACTTTAAAATTAAGAATATCACTTGTTCTGTTCTATGTTCTATACTTAAATGACCTGTTACGTACAAAAGTGTATAAAACTGTTTTCAAATTAAGTGCAATAGTGTATAATTTATTTCAAATTTAGAGGTCAATTATTGGGCTATTTAAATTTTTGTCCAAATAATCTTAACACTTTCTTGTTTGCTTTACATCTCTAGGTTTTAAATGCGTATGTCATGAACGTAAAGTCGTGTACGAGATGCATTAGAATGAGACGAGGATGGACTTGAGAACATGCTGAGGGGGCGTGACTGATAACCAAATTTGTCTAATCTTTTAACGTAAAGGTCAGCCAGTGCATATATTGACTGGTGATTGTCTAAATTAGCAAATTATTATAGAGGATTCCATAGGTACTTTAAAGGCACATGATGTCTCAGAAATAAAAAAAAAATTACTTGTTAAGAAAGGGCAACCATGAATTTTATAATGATTAAATAATGGATTTAGAGAATGTTACAGTTAGATGCTCGTTACCTGAAGACAGTAGCGATAAATGTGAAAAAATTGTCGTAAATGTAGCGAAATGAAAACAGAGAAGTATTGTTAACTTCTAATCACCAGAAATAACTTATTCTCTAAAGTAGCTTATGGAAATTGGCCAAAAGGAACAGAATGAAAAAAATTATTGGTAATTGGGCTAAATGAATATTTTAGTATGTTTAAAATTAAAAATGTAGATGAAATACGTTAAATTAAATATTTGAGACGTATAAAAACCAAACATAGTTTCTACACATGTTGGCGGCTCTGATCAGTCAGCTTTCTACATTCGCTTGAATTTTTTAAGTAAAACAAAATAAATGATAGAGTAAAAAATGTCCTCTTTTGAATTTGAGCCTTTTAAACATTTTAGTTTAAGGTCCATTTTAAGCAGGTTATGGATAAGTTATTGAACAAAAATGTATTTTGTTGAATATAAGGACTCCAGTATCGAAATACTAAAAAATTGGGAAAAAATATTGACAACTTCATGTTTAGGGGTCAAAAAAGACTGGGGTAAAATATTGTAGACACGTTCGGAGTATAAAATGACTGGGGGGCAAAATATTCCATATAGTCATATTTTACATAATTATGAGAAAATGAAGAGAATAATTTATACATCCATTCAGATTTTCGTTGAAGAATAATATTTAGAATGTCTCATATTAGTTTTACAAACGGCCTTGTGTTTCTGTATAAGGAAGAAAATATAAGAGTGTATACTGTAATAGGAAGAAAATAGTCTCATATTAAAGCTTGTGTCCTTGAAATATTGTCTCCATGCAATCTAAATATTGGAAGACCAATAAGGAGGTAAAAAGTGGTTACTTTGTTTACATTAAGTCTTTTGTTTTTCAGTTTTATCATTTTTCACTGTTTGTGGCTTTGTGGTTTGTGTTGTTGTGTTGAGATTCCGTATTTAGCTTGTGCACTTTGGAAGATCCTAATAGGGTGTACTTGAACTTTGGCATCAGCTTCAGGGAAGATGGTTCTTAAGTGTTGATCAACTTTCCTGTTTTATGTGCTTGAAAAAGCTATTGCTTTGTTTGCTTTGTCCATTCTTTTGTAAAATTATCATTAGTTTGGAGAGATTTGTTAGTTGTTTAGTCACGAAATCAATTCTCTCATGCGCATAACATGGCTCTTTTGATTGTTTACTTGCTTGTTGGTTGCTCGCCCACCCGTCTGCTCGCTCACTCACTCTTTAATCAAGCCACACACCCACTTATTTAACAAATTTATTATGAATCATCTATTATGATTTTAAAATTGTTTTTTTTACTCGCTAAATAAGAATTGAATTTTTTGTCTCGTTTCAGTTTGTGGCAGCATAGATATCCGAAATGACATAAAGAATTTAAATCGACTTGAGAACTGTACAGTGATTGAAGGAAACTTAACGTTCCTACTGATCGATACCGGAAAATGGGAAGACTACCAGAAATACAGCTTTCCGAACCTTATTGAAATAACGGAGTTCCTTCTCTTGTTCAGAGTCATTGATCTAAGAAGCTTGAATCATTTGTTCCCGAACCTCGCCATAATTCGCGGAGATCGACTCTTCAGTGATTATGCATTGGTTGCTTTTGAAATGCCAGATCTCGTTGAACTTGGGCTGTCTAGTTTGGTATCGATACCTCGAGGTGCCGTCAGGTTGGAGAAAAATCCAAACCTTTGCTATATCGAGACAGTGGATTGGGCGAAAATAACAACGGGAGTGACGATGTCAGAGAACTACTTTAAAGGCAATAAAGATGTACAAGAATGCGTGAATAGTTGTCCAAATACATGCGATATGACCATTGAATTCGATAAAGAAGTGCACAGATGCTGGACTATGAATGACTGTCAGAAAATGTTGTGTAAGTATTCCTTCAAGCCCGTTATGTCACATTTTATCTATATTTTGGGACCGCTGTGGTTGAACAGTAAGCATTGCCAACATTGAATCACGTCCTCTCACTGCTTTGTATTTAAGTATCACCAAGTACGATGAGTCAAGGAAGGTCAGTGAATAAACTCAAGGCCTGGTGCCTGTAGTGATTTATGTATGGAAACATTTATTTCACCAGTAAAACTCAGGTGTACCTAAATATCTAACTCACCCACTCACATCCAACCTTCAACAACACATCCAACCTTCAACAACACATGCAATTACCTTTACCTACACACATCCAACCTTCACCCATACTTATCCAACCTTCACCCACAAAAACCCTATCTTCACCCACAGACATTCAGCATCGACCCACACACATCCAACTTTAACCTGCACACGTTTAACTATCCACCCACATGATCAACACCCTTATCAACTTCACCTACAAACCCAAAATTCACCAACATTGACCCACACATCCAAGCTTAACCGCATACATTAATATCCCTACACGATCAAATTCACATGCATCTACAAGCTACATTTCATTCATGGGTAATTTAGAATAATTTCTAAAAGATAAAGCAGTCAACAAAAATTTTCTGGCAAATATATAATATATAATTATGTAATAAGAAAAAAAAAAACAAGCAAATAAAATATGTACAATTAATCAGAAATTAACACTATTCATGATCAGTAGGCATTTTGAATACTGATAAAATGTAGAACATATGTATGTTATGTACAGAAAAAGAAATGTGGAACATAATAAGTATGTAATAATAACTATGTACGGAAAAATAAATGTGGTACATAAATATTTAAGAGTATGTACCAAGAAATCATTCATAATTAATTGTACAAGTTCAGTCAATAAGTAGGTTACTATATAGGTTAATTAAATTATCATACATTGGTCTAGATACCATACATGCTACGCTGCTCAAAATAACAGGAAATTAAGGTTTTTCATAAAATTCACCCATTTTCAGCTTCAAAATTGGTTAAATTATTTGTGCTATTAATATGACTAATATTTTTCACACATACATGTATTATTATAATTTTGTAATCGACCAATTAAAAAAAAAATGGTATTTTTTCCCCCAACACCTACACAGATTGTCAAAACATGCACTTAACAAAATGACTATAACACTATTTGCATAATTTGTGTGGAAAAAAAAAATTACACCAAATGAACCCGTTTAATGTAAAACTGTTTGGTATGAAACATGTTTAAAAAAAACCCTCAAAAATATGTGAATATTTAAAATAAAAAATTAAGAAAAAAAGACACATCTTTATTTTGAACGGAAAGAAAACAAGGTCTGAGAACATCAACATCTTAACTGTGCAAGGATACCTGTGTTGTTTTAAATATAGTATATAAACATCAGGTACAAAAAATCGAGCATGTTTAAAACATGATTCATTGCTTGTGTAATGAATGTTTAAAGGTACAAACAAAATGTATCAACACAAACAAATGTAATTGTATATTTTGTTGGTTTTGACAAAAAAAAAATGGGCAATGAGTTATGAAGATGAAGGCATGTTATTTTAAAATGAGTGAAATTAATGTTACAAATTTCAACTTTCAATATATACAATTCCAGGGGAAAATAACACAATCCCAAAATACTTTCTTTGTAATTTTATGATATATAACTTTTGTGTGTTCTTTATAGTAAAAGTAATTTTGAGAATACATAGGTACTTACTCTGTTTTTCAGAGGAAATTAAGCTTTGAATTCTGGTATTTTCTTGTTTAAAATTATACAATACTTAAATTAGTCTTCTCTTTTCATGGAAGTTAACAGGAAATTGAAACTGTTTTTCTTTGAATTAATGTCCTTTACTTTAAGATAAGTCCTTGACATTTATATCATATAAACTCTTATCTTGGTCTAGCTTTTCTCAGTGTAATTTGTTTGTTCCATGACTTTGTGGTCAAATTCTGGGCACATCATTCTCCTACCACAAACTAATACAGTTGTATTTACTGGGTTTTTTTGTGTGTAAAATCTATACTTTATAAGACTAATCTATATACTTTATAAGACCAAATGTCAAAAATCTATATACTTTATAAGACCAAATATCTACATATTTTATAAGACCAAAAATCTATATACTTTATAAGATCAAAAAATCTATATACTTTATAAGACCAAAAAATCTATATACTTTATAAGATCAAAAATCTAAATATTTTTGGCTTTCGTTAACCATTTTGTTAAAATCCTTTTTTGTTCAGAAACTGTAAAAGCTATTCACTTTAAGGAGTCTTGTTTATAAAGATATATAAAAACAGCTGTTTCGCCATTTAAATAAAAAAATTAATAATTTATATGATTTATTAAATCTAGATATGTAGTTCTATATCAGTTATAGCTAAAGAAAAATTGGAAACATATGTTGAGATGTTTTTTTATTAGCATGGTAACTGTTTATTTGAAATTGTATTTTTTTTTGTTATGAAATTCTCTGGCACACTTTTGTCACTGTTTTTCCTGCTTTATTGTTTAATTTGTCTGTTGTCTTTTATTTGTCCATTTGTCAAAAAAATGCAGAAAATTTGAATACAAAAAAAAAATTGCGATTTATACCATCTGCACATTATTGATCAATATACTGTTTAAAGCCCTCGTGTGAGATTTGACAGTAACCTTGTCAGGTATTGTATATTCGTCTCAAAGCGGGCGTATTATTCTAAGTTATCTAAGAATCAGATCATCTTTTTTTTCCCTCCATGACCTTGAAAATTGATTCCATTCTGGTGGAAATAATTGTATAAGTTCCCACAAACTTGTTTATAATGTACATAATCGTGACTTGTAACACAAGTGTTTCCTCTAGATTATAGAATTGCAATGATTTCATAATGAATTGGTGAGCAAAAAGGCTTAACATTTTGAAAAAAAACCCAAAAAACATGCTTATGTAAGTGTTAAATATTTTTGTCATAATTTATCTCCATTAAAAAAAGTGTGTTTTTTTTCCAGATCCTCATAAAATTGAAAACATTTTGCTTTGTTTTATATAAATTAGTTATACTTGTTTTGTATAAGTTGTTTATACTTGTTTTGTATAAGTTGTTTATATTTGTGTTGTATAAGTTGTTTATATTTGTTTTGTATAAGTTGTTAATACTTGTTTTGTATAAGTTGCTAATACTTGTTTTGTATTTCAGCTCCGCCGGCAAACTGCGAAACTGGTTTCTACAATGGTAAGACGTGCTGTGATGCCAACTGTATAGGCGGCTGCACCGGACCGTCACCGCAACAATGCACAGCTTGTAAACAAGTGATGCAATACACAGGAAATGGATTTCCTACATGTACAAAAAGATGTACTGCAGGAACATACATGGTATATATATATATATATTGCCTACCAGTAAAGAAGTGGTTAATGTGTCTGCCTCTCAAACCAAGGGTTCATGGGTTCGAGTCCTATTTGGGTCACAACAAGGTTCCCGTTATGTTAACACCAGTATTGGTTAGTTCCACAAGAAGTCAAAAGAAACTGGAATGGGTTAGCTATTGCAACCGTTGTTTTCAATATTTTTCAAACGGGTACGACTTCAATGCAATATATTTGTTTAAATTAAATTAAATAAGATCATCATTTCAAAAATAATATATATAATATAAATAATATATAATTGATGACTTTCAATTAATGCAGTAACAATGAATTGTTTTATTTTTTTAGTGATTAAAGTGTGTCTTAGCCAATGTAATATATAGCAACATCGTTCAAGATAAAAACGAATCCATTTCATGTGCATGTGTTCCACATGCAGAAACGATTATTTTAATTTTCATGAATTTTAATAAAATTAAGTTAGATAAACATATTAATATTTTATGAATGAAATCTATTTAGTCATACATTTTACATTGTACACTGTTTTGTTCTAACTTTGTTTCTGACCTAAAGTTTTAAATTTTATTGCTTAACGGAAATAATAAGACAAATTATAACGTGTATCGATCATTTATATTTCAGTACAAAAACCGCAGATGCCTTCTTGATTGGGAGTGTTTGAACTTCACTGATTACCCGACAGGGATGGGTTATGGTCAATTCTTGAAGCTGATCATGTCGACAGACAAGCGCAAGCCCGGACTCTGTGCCGCTGATTGCCCTCCCGGTTATAATACCGACTCAAATGACCACCAGAAATGTGTCCTATGCAAAGGAAAATGCCCGAAAAGTAAAGCACATATTTTCACTCTGTTTTTTCATAGCAGTTAAAATATAGTGTAGTACATATATATATACAGTATAACTTCTGAAAACCGAACACCCATGGGACTTGTCAAAAAGTTCGGAATTCAGAGGTTTCCGGAATTCAGAGGTTTATGATAATGTCGACAAGACTTGAATTTCTATCAGTTTGTAGAAATGTTGTTAATTGCATAAACTTACATATTGTCCGATGCTAGTTAATTAATTATTACATCAAATGCAATGCAATACCTAAAGACGTTTGATGCATACATTGTCCCAATTAATTGTTATTTAATCCGCCAATAAACACTTCAAATTAACTGACTGTCGTAAATTAAATACCATTTCACAGTTTGTGATTTTAACGCGTGTCAAATAACAAGATCTACGCACTAGATATATATATATATTTGCAGTGCAATGGCCGGATAATGATTGTTTTGTTTTTCTGTTGTTTTCTTTCTAGTCTAGGCACTGCATAACGTTACGTGCTTAATGTAAGAATTAATAATATAAAATCTATTAAGCCTTGAAAACCTTCTGAAAACATGTGTACATGCTTTTTTTCTTTCTTTATTTTTACACTTTTTTTATACTTTATACACCAGCTGGAGAGAATTGTTTCATATTTTAAAAGTATACTGATTTTATTGTACTTCATTTTGTGTATTTTGTTTAAAGCAACCATTATGTTTTCTACATATAGTACAGATGGCGTGGAATGTTTCCCCATCCTTTTTATTTGAAAGTAGATTTAAAAAAATAGGTGGGGCTATTATAGTCATCTAGGTGTTAGCACTGCCATCGCCATCACACCTTGGTTAAAATTTTGCTTGCAAGTTGTTATCTCCAAAACTACTGAAGGAAATTGGTTGAAGCTATACACACTCGTTCTCTGTGAATATTACATGATGATCACAGTTCACATAACTCTTGAGTTAGCTTTTTACAGAGTTATGCCCATTTTCTAACTGTCCAACTGCAAAGAGTTAAGCTTACTGTCCTAAAAATTGTTTTAGTTACAAGCAAGATGTTTTAGTATGCATGCTAGGTCAATATGTACAAATAATCTTTTAGCTATGAACCATTTCAAAGACCATGCTCCAATATATTGTAAATAGGCCAATATGATATAAACAGGCCATTATGTTGTAAACAGGCCAATATGTTGTAAACAGGTCAATATATTTTGAACAGGCCAATATGATGTAAAAAGAGCCAAAATGATGTAAACAGGCCAATATGTTGTAAACAGGCCAATATGTTGTTAACAGGCCAATATGGTGTAAACAGGCAAATAAGTTGTAAACAAGCCAATATTATATAAACAGGCCAATATGTTTTAATCACACCAATATGTTACAAACAGGCCAATATGATGTAAACAGGCCAATACGTAGTAAACAAGCCATTATGATGTAAACAAGCCAATATGTTGTAAACAGGCCAATATGGTGTAAACAAGCCAATATGTTGTAAAGAAGCCATTATGATGTTAACAAGCCAATATGGTGTAAACAGGGCAATATGATGTGAACAGGCCAATATGTTGTAAATAAGCCATTATGATGTAAACAAGCCAATATTGTGTAAACAGGCCAATTTGTTGTAAACAGGCCAATATGGTGTAAACAAGCCAATATGATATAAACAGGCCAATGTGATGCAAAAAGAGCCAAAACTGGTAAATTTCTAATTTGATAAAAATTTAGATTTGTTTGACTATGTAAACATTTGTGTTACAGAATGCAGTGGGAAAGTTATTGACAGTGTGAATTCAGTACAAGAACTAAAAGACTGCAACATAGTCGAAGGACCACTACATATCAAACTTATGCAAGGAGGTATGCACTTATTTTTGCGTTTTGTTTACTTATTTGTCATGGATTCACATGAAATTTCCATTCCTTTAGATAACTTACTGTGAATCAGGCGCTTGGAATTGTTCATCTGTAAAAATTCAAACCACTTGTCCATTCACCACTGTGGGTTTGAATCCAGCAGTGACTTTGAATTCTTTCATGTGAGGAATCTATCCAGCTAGCTTACAGATCGTCAGTGGTTCTACTCTGGTGCCCGTTCTTGCCAGAAATAATGCACGGAAGGGCACCTAACAGTCTTCCTCCACCATTAAAACTGAAAAGAAACCATTGGTATGAATTTAAATCTAACAAGCCCTCTGTTATTTATTCACAGATTATAGCACATGGCATTCTATTATTTACTTATAATTCTTCTCTATTATTTACAGGTCAGATTGCCCAGGAACTTGAGGCTAATTTGGCACAGATTGAGGAGGTTACGGAATATATCATGATAAGCCACTCTGAGGCTCTTATTTCACTTCATTGCTTCAAAAATTTAAAGAGAATTGGAGGCAGTGTGTTGCACCAAAATAAGTAAGCTTATATAACTATGAAGTATATGAGCCGCGTCACGACAAAACCAACATAGTGCGTTGGCGACCAGCATGGATCCAGACCAGATTGCGCAACTGTGCAGTCTGATCAGGATCCATGCTGTTGGCTTACCAAAACCTATAACCAGTAGAGAAACTGATAGCGAACAGCATGGATCCTGATCAGACTGGGTGGATGCGCAGGCTGGTCTGGATCCATGCTGGTCGCAAACACATTATGTTGGTTTTTGTCATGGCGTGGCTCATATAGAGTTTATATGATTTTTTAAGTGTATTGGAAAACCGAAGTTAATGCTTATATAGGTAACAAGTATATAAATACTTATTATTATATTAATAAGTTAATGCTCATTTGATTCAAAGTATTTGAACACTTAAGTTAATACTTATATAATTTCAACATATATAAACACCAAGTTATTGCTTATATAATGATATAGTATATAAACATGTAAGTTAAGTTTTGTATAATTCTTGAATATATCAGAAGGAAATTAATTCTTATGAATTATATTACTTAGTCAATACTAGGATAAATATAAAAATATTACTAAACTTAAGTTTGGTTTCTACTTACTACTAAAAAGAAACTGTTGACTGTAATGGATTGGGATGGCTGAGATCAAACCTTTCAATTTTTCATTGATATATTTGCAGGTATGTTTTCTATGCCTACGACAACCTGAATCTTCAAGAACTGTTTATGGAACATGTCACAAGCAACCTAACCATTGGAAATGGTACAGTCCTGTTCCAGTACAATAGAAAACTATGTTACAACAAAATCAAAACATTCGTAACCTCCGTTGGGCTCGATATTAATAAGATAAGTGCGGAGGAAGTCTCGGCCGACAATAACGGAGATCAGATGCCATGTAAGTCGTTTTAACATGATATTCATATAATAGAAATAAGAATTTACACAGGCTACCATTACGAACTGGAACATTTGACAGGCTGCCATTATGAACTGGAATATTTTACTGGCTGCCATTATGAACCAGAATATTTGACAGCAGAATATTTGACAGGCTGCCATTACGGACTGGAATATTTGACAGGCTGCCATTACGGACTGGAATATTTGACAGCAGAATATTTGACAGGCTGCCATTACGGACTGGAATATTTGACAGGCTGCCATTACGGACTGGAATATTTGACAGGCTGCCATTACGGACTGGAATATTTGACAGGCTGCCATTACGGACTGGAATATTTGACAGGCTGCCATTATGAACCAGAATATTTGACAGGTTGCCATTTCGAACCGGGATATTTGACAGGCTGCCATTATGAACCAGAATATTTGAATTGAGGGTTACTGGAAAGACTGTCAGCCCATTTAGCTCAATAGGAAAAGCTTCAGGCTTGTAATCCATGCGCCGCTAGTCTGATCCCCTGCGGAGGCAATTAAGGACCGGAACATTTGACAGGCTGCCATTAAGAACCAGAATATTTGAATTAAGGGTAACTGGAAAGACTGTCAGCCCGTTTAGCTTGATAGGAAAGGCATCAGGCTTGTAATCCATGCGCTGCTAGTTTGATCCCCTGTCCAGGCAAAAATTTGTCTGTGACAATTGATCTGCGACATTTGAATCTTATGGTCATTTATCTTTCAATAAATCATGGACTGACCACTGAGATACTACCAAAAACATGTATGAAAATCATTGTAAAGACTAGATAAAAAAACAACAGTGGAAATAAGGTTGAACAAAGGCAGTCAACAAAGTTGTGCCAATTTTTCTATAGTTTCCAAAAAGCTGAATATTTCTGTACGCGATGACTGCCAGGCTAAGATTTTTTTTCTCTGTACATTCATGTAAAATAGGTCAAAATGTAAACTGATATTTTTATTTTAACACTTTATTCTTATGGAAGTGTAAGAATTTACAACTTCATTCATTAAGGTAATAGAATGATGTCATAAAAAGCACAGGATTTGTCTTACAGTGGGGGTGGGGTGTAGAATGATGGTTTTTTTCGACATCAGTTCCGACGCTAGAAAATTAATAAGCTGATGTGTATTAAACAAAGTCTGCAGTGATGTTTTTAGCATGAAGATTTATGGTTGTAATATGATAATAGGTGGTTAATATCACGCTGAAGCCTGCACTGTTAGGTGAGTAGGCACAAGCCTATGTGGCTACAAGAGTAGATAAAGTGTTAGTTTTAACATACTTAATTTAAGCTAGATTGCTAAACAAGCTCTTGCAACTTATATTAAGCACTTCCCAGTCGGCCTCCTGGAACCAACCAGTACTGCCACCAATGCTCCTTAGTTGAAATAAAGTGTTAGATATAAAGATCTCCAATAATTGAAATTGGGTGTCACCGTGTGTTATTTCCTGAAATTATTTGTTTTACAATTTAACATTTAGTTATTAGTGTAGTGGTTTAATTTATTAATCATTTACACAATGTATTTCTTTATCTATACATGGTTATGTAAAATAAATGTGGAAAAAAAATGTAACACATAACTTGCATGGAGCTGAAAGTGTCAGATTACTCTTTGCCACTAGTATAGCACCAGGTCAGAAGTGTTGCATCTAGAATTTCCTATTATGGGAGATTGAACATTGAAAAATGTGGGGGATTTGAAAAAAAATTGAGGGACTTGCACCTTAACAATATGACTTACCGAAAGTATTAATTTATTATACATTTAGGCATTTTTAACAGCAATCGTCTGCTCAACAATGGAAATAGAAAAATATAAGATATTGACAAATACTTGTAAGGTGCGCAGATCAAACCGTCAATACAATGCAAGATGACCCTGTCGGGTGCTACACACGATTTAGTATGTATTTTAGCCATTACCATGAGTGAAAACAAACATGGCAGAAGTGTTCAAGAAACGATGAAGAGTAACTGAATTAAGTTGAAAAGATCGTCTGATAAGTGACTTGGCGCGCATTGACTTAATCAAAATGCGAGATCTGCAAAAGGTATGTGCAAATCATGCAATTCCGTGGCCTAGATGCAACACTGGGTCAGTCTGCATATTGCTGCAGTCAGACCATTCTACAGTTGGTAGCTCTAAGCTTATAATCCCTTATAATATGAATGGACTGTTCCAAATTTAAAGCTGGGCAGATCCATTACACAGATTCAGCAGGTAAAGGGTTGATATAAAATAATTTTTTGTCGTCTGCAAGCTTTATGAATGTGTATAAATTTGTTTTTATACAGGTGACATACAGAAGTTGATGATGAGATCGTTGAAGGTATCGCCTCATATTGCCTTTGTGTCGTGGACAAAAATGAACATTACGGGTGATGCTCGTCATCTGATAGGTTACACAATCAGCTGGAAAGTTGCGTAAGTCTCGTTCGCCATTTAACTGAAGTTTTCTTCTTACTCTCTGGATAATTAGAGTACATGATATCGCCTTTAATAGTGTGAAATATTTTCTTATATTCTACTTCATCTTGTGTCTACAGTCAGTGATTTTCCTGCTTATATAACCAACTCCAATAAAAGACCTCTTTGAAATTTTCTTTAAAATCATGCAGTTTTTCCAAAAATCTGAACTTACACTTTATATCAAAAGGCTTAGGCTTCTTCCCAGTTAAGTTAGAAAAATCACTGAATGTTGAAAGGAAATCTCTCTGTTTTGGCTTTAAGAATTAAGTGCAAAATGTGAAATTTTTATATCTTTTGTGCTACTACTTATCTGGGTAAAGTTTGGCTTTTCATTGTCCAGAGGTAAATAAGCTTGTATATACAAAGACGTGAGAAACTTATACATGTATTTTTAACCAATCACTTTGCTTTATAATATTATAAGAAAAGATATAATTTTAACTAAAAACCTGTAACAAAAGAGCTGTTGTACATGTTTAATAGCCCATTTGAAATGAATTGAAATATAGATTTTTCTATTTTCGCATTTTTCAGGCCGGAGAAGAACGTTTCTATCTATAAAGGGCGTGATGCATGTTCGGACGACCTGTAAGTTGATAGCATGTTTTGAAAACCATTATGTTCTAGTAAGGATTAACTCACCTATGTCATGGATAGAAACACTTTCACGTCACGACTGTAGAATCCTAGACCTTTAATTAAGCGAATTTGGAATTTCACTACCTCAAGCAAGAAAACTTTTGCCACGAAAATTTCAGAAGCGTAAACATTTCCCATTCTTGTCATGTAAAAAAATAAGCCAACGTATTATTTCTAATTGTGTTTTTGTTTTTGTACATTCTTATGGCTTTATTCATCTTTTAGTACAGATATTTATGTTGAGAATGGCATTGAATATGTTTTTGTTGGATTTATTATCCCTGTGTATTAGATTTGTGGTATTTAAAGCTACAGCGACAAAAGAAACACAATTGCAAAACAACAGAAAGAAAAAAAAAACAACAACACTTAATCAACAGCTGTGATTTCATGTATGAAAACAAGCTAAGTGCAAAACAGTGGTTCTGCTATTTATATATTAGTACATTAGTACACTGTAGAATTCCTGAAGACATTTTTGTTTTTGAAGGGGGAGTGGGGAATATGATAAAACAACACATTATTACAGATTATTCATTTGTTTGTGCACTTTTAAGTTTTCTGCTATTTATATATTGGTACATAGAAACTTTTTTGCTTATTGAGGGGGAGGGGGGGTTAAAAAAAATATGACAAAACAACACATTACATATTCTTTTTTTGTTTGTGCACTTTTAAGTTACTGTGTGAAAATGTTTGCTGAGTGTATAAAGGTCAAATGTGAAAACTGTTTGAGTAAGGAAAGGTTATATGAAAGTATGGCAAGAAATGTAATTTGTTGTCTATTTGGAGTGAAAATTTAAGCCACATGTAATAAGACCTGCTTTGTCATTATGTATAGTCATTACATATATAAAGTGCCATTTATAAATAACTTATTGGTAAATAAATGAGTTTCTTGTATCACTAAGCATGAAAAAAATCTCTCTTTTTTTCTCTCTCTCTCTCCCCAGAAAAAAGGATGGTAATTCATTACTAGGCAAGGCTGTATTACACGTACTTTCCTTTATATAAATTATGATATGGGACTTAATGTAATCTGTAAGATCTAAAGACAATTGTTCATGGTTTAAAGCTTGACTTTTTTCGGAAAATAGGGGGAGGTACTCACCTTGTTGTCATTGTTTTTTAAAAAATTGTTTTGTTTTAATTATTTATTTTTAAGTTTATTTATTTTTACGTTCATTTATTTATTTTTCATTACAGATGGTTGAGCAAGGACGTTTGTACAAACAAACCATGTGACCGATACATTAATTACATCGCAGGGCTCGAACCCTGGACCCAGTACGCGGCCTATATAAGGGCACTGACTGTATCCAAAGCATTGAAAGGCGCAAGCAGTGATGTGATTTACTTTCGTACGGCAGCAGAAGGTGAATATACAATTTACTTTAAACATTACTTTTTGACTTCTATGAATTTTTATATCAAAGTAGCAGAAGGTGAAAGTGATCTTTAAACATTTCTCGTTGACTTCTGTGAACTTTTATATCAAAGTACAATATAATTATTTGCTGGAAAAAAAAACATCTGTCGACTTTCAATATTGAGTTTTGTTTTGGAAGATGACGCATATTTATAAATTTGAAGGGGCAACTTTAATGAATAAGTTTGATTTAACTCTTAGATTGTTGCCCGCATCAGAGTCTATCCATACAGCAAGTACTGACCAAGATCAGCTGGCATATCTGTGCTGTCTGATCATGGTCTGCACTGTTCACTATTCAGTTGGTACTAATTTTGAAATTTTCTCTATGGAGATAAATGGCTTTGTCCAGATTGTTAGTGGAGCAGGTCCATTTGAAATATTTAGGGTGGTAAGACTTTAAACCCAGCAATTAATGACATTACATTACAATAATGATACCCAATTCAGAATAGTTGATAAGCCTGAGCACTGTCTTTAATTGATTATTTCCTTTCATGGGAGAAATAAAAAAGACAACAACAAAAAACGGTGGTTCTATTCAAATGGCCACTTGTGTCTGTAATAACGCACAGGTTGTTTTCCACCAGGAAAGCTTGAAAGTCTCCATGAGAAGAAAAATGGAAGAAAAAGTGGAATGTGTAAGAGTTGAAAAAAAAACAACATTAGGATATTGTAAAGGATAAGAGCTGTTAAACGGAGATAGTTTAATAAATAAGTTCCTTTTTAACAATATCTTTTTAAAATTAAATAAAAATAGACAAGCTTTTGGGCCAAACACCAATTTTTCCGTATAATCAGTTATTCACTATAGCAGTGTTTGCTGCAAGTCAGTTTTACTGTAGTACATGACATGTATAATTATGATAATGTAAACATGTGGACTGGCCGATAAGGTTAACAAACTTTTTTTTATTTTACTGATTATATCTTATTTTTTTACCCTCTGTTAGATCTCGATCAACATCTGTCCGACCTTGGGATGACATCTGTTAATCATTTTGAGCTCGACTTTTTTAGCTCACCTGTCACAAAGTGACAGGGTGAGCTTTTGTGATCGCTTTTCGTCCGGCGTCCGTCCGTCCGTCCGTCGTCCGTCCGTAAACTTTTGCTTTAAATGACATCTCCTCATAAACCACTGAGCCAATTTCATCCAAACTTCACAGGAATGTTCCTTTGGTGGTCACCTTTAAAAATTGTTCAAAGAATTTAATTCCATGCAGAACTCTGGTTGCCATGGCAACCGAAAGAAAAATCTTTAAATATCTTCTTTTAAACAACCCTAAGAGCTAGAGCTTAGATATTTGGCATGAAACATCTTCTAGTGAGTGTCTACCAAGTTTGTTCAAATAAAGGCTCTTGGGTCAAAATTGGCCCCGCCCCAGGGGGTCATTGATTTTCCCTAAATGCATATAGTAAAAACTTAAAAAATCTTCTTTTAAAGAACCCAAAGAGCTAGAGCTAAGATATTTGGCATGAAACATCTTCTAATGAGTGTTTACCAAGTTTGTTCAAATAAAAGCCCTTGGGTCAAAATTGGCCCCGCCCCGGGGGTCATTGATTTTCCCTATATGCATATAGTAAAAACTTAAAAAATCTTCTTTTAAAGAACCGTAAGAGCTAGAGCTTAGATATTAAGCATGAAACATCTTATAGTGAATGTCAACCAAGTTTGTTCAAATAAAAGCCCTGGGGTCAAAATTGGCCCCGCCCCAGGGGGTCATTGATTTTCCCTATATGCATATAGTAAAAACTTAAAAAATCTTCTTTTAAAGAACCTAAAGAGCTAGAGCTAAGATATTAAGCATGAAACATCTTCTAGTGAGTGTCTACCAAGTTTGTTCAAATTAAAGCCCTGTGGTCAAAATTGGCCCCACCCCGGGGGGTCATTGATTTTCCCTATATGCATATAGTAAAAACTTAAAAAATCTTCTTTTAAAGAACCATAAGAGCTAGAGCTTAGATATTTGGCATGAAACATCTTCTAGTGAATGTCTACCAAGTTTGTTCAAATAAAAGCCCTGGGGTCAAAATTGGCCCCGCCCCAGGGGGGTCATTGATTTTCCCTATATGCATATAGTAAAAACTTAAAAAATCTTCTTTTAAAGAACTCAAAGAGCTAGAGCTAAGATATTTAGCATGAAACATGTTCTAATGGGTGTCTACCAAGTATGTTCAAATAAAAGCCCTGGGGTCAAAACTGGCCCCGCCTGGGGGGGGGGGGGGGTCATTGATTTTCCTTATATGTGTATAGCAAAAACTTAAAAATCTTCTTTGAAAAAACCCAAATAGCTAGAGTTTAGATATTAAGCATGAAACATCTTTAAGTAAATATCTACAAAGTTTGTTCAAATAAAAGCCCGGGGGTCAAAACTGGCCCTGCCCCAGGGGTGTCATTGTTTTTAACTATATGTGTATAGTAAAAACTTTAAAAATCTTCTTTTAAAAAACCCAATGAGCTAGAACTTAGATGTTTAGCATGAAACATCTTCTTATGGGTGTCTACCAAGTCTGTTCAAATAAACAAATAAAAGCCCTTGGGTAAAAATTGGCCCGGGGTGGGGGGGGGGCTATATACAGGTGAGCGACCTCAGGGCCATCATGGCCCTCTTGTTTTTCTTTTTTTTTTGAAGAAAATAAAAAATAGAGTTTATTGTTATAGTCATGTGGAATACCCTTTGACCTATCCTGTTGCCATTGCCTCGCAAGTTGCCGTCTGCAAACTTTAACATTGACCATGACATTTTTTATCTCTTGTCAAACTTATTGTTAGTTTATGTATGATATCATAAAATTCAAAGGGGCTTATCTTGGTGGGAGTGATCAAAATAAACTTTAATCTTTTTTTATGGCAATTTAACTCAAAGTATCTATAACAAAACTAATTTATGTTACATAACTTTCAGTTCCAACAAGCCCAATAAATCTCCAGGTGAAAGAGAAACATCCAGGTGAACTGGAAGTGTCTTGGGACCCGCCCAACAAACCCAACGGGAACGTGACCCACTATCACGTCTACTGGCAGCTTCGTAAATTCAACCAGAAAGAATACGAGCTCAGAAATTACTGCACAAACCGTGAGTACACATACACCAAAACTTTTTATGACTTGATGCAATGTGGTTGTTTCTCTTCTTCTTGTTACACGCTAAATTTGTGGTGTACCAAGCACATGAGGTAAACACACAAGATAAACGCACGAGCTTAACACTTAAGATAAACACATGAGGTAAACACACAAGATAAACATGCAAGATAAACACACAAGATTGACACATGAGATAAACACATGAGATAAACACATGAGATAAACACACAAGATAAAAACACAAGATAAACACGTGAACAAGTGCTCTTGCTCCGAAATGATCTCCAGATTGAGTTCGATGGTTATTTATCTCACACTGCTGATACAGAAATCATATTTGATGAGCGGTTGGGTCACTTGCGGAGACATTGGTGCAGAGAACTTGGAACTTGTATGTTATCTGGGACAACTAGTTAGGTGGCTCGACTGCCGAGATAGTCCAGATAATGTGTTAAAATTGCCGAAAATAAAAAAATCTAGAAGTGAGGCCATGACCTAGAAGTTAAGGAGTCAACTTCTCAATGCAGCAGCAATAGTTGGCTCCAACCCTATTACGGTCACAGCCATTTTAATTAATATGATGCCAGTACTGGTTACTTTCAGGAAGTGGACTTAAATGTTATTGATACGAAATTGAAAAAATAAATTCACAGGTTGATATACCTGTGTTATTTGATAGAATTTCAGTATTTCATTAACAAATTATTGTACATGTATATATAAAATTTGTAAAAAGTAGATAGTATTGATTTATGTGAAAAATTATAAAATTCTGATTATTTCCAGTTTTTGAATTTGCATTAAAGTGCCATTGATTGAAATATAAGCTAAATTTGAACTGTTTATTTTTGTACATAATTACATACCCGTAAAGTTTCTGCGATTCTGTAAAAATGGTATGTGACTTGAAAAGAGTATAGCCATGCTAAATGTAAGCGTTATGCTATAGGTGCATCAATGAAAAATGACTCTTTTTTTCACTTAAATGGTCTTTATTTTTGGTATGTGATAAATAGAATATTAAATTTGAGTGAAGTTCATTACTTAATTTATTTAACTCATTGAATGTAATGATGTCATGCTCTCCAGAGACTCGCATAATTTGATTTTATTATACTTGTTCAATAAATTCTGTATTGAACTTACACTCATTCAATATCCTCTATTTATAGCACTGTCTGTAAGCCTCATTCAATATCCTCTATTTATAGCACTGTCTGTGAGCCTCATTCAATATCCTCTATTTATAGCACTGTCATAGCGCTGTCTGTGAGCCTCATTCAATATCCTCTATTTATAGCACTGTCTGTAAGCCTCATTCAATATCCTCTATTTATAGCACTGTCTGTGAGCCTCATTCAATATCCTCTATTTATAGCGCTGTCTGTGAGCCTCATTCAATATCCTCTATTTATAGCGCTGTCTGTGAGCCTCATTCAATATCCTCTATTTATAGCACTGTCTGTGAGCCTCATTCAATATCCTCTATTTATAGCACTGTCTGTGAGCCTCATTCAATATCCTCTATTTATAGCACTGTCTGTGAGCCTCATTCAATATCCTCTATTTATAGCACTGTCTGTGAGCCTCATTCAATATCCTCTATTTATAGCACTGTCTGTGAGCCTCATTCAATATCCTCTATTTATAGCACTGTCTGTGAGCCTCATTAAGAGAGAGATAGAAGAGAAACAGGCTGAGGAGAAAAGAAACGTTACGAGAAACGGAACGTGCTGTGAGTGCCCGAAAACAGAGAAACAACTACAGGTGGAAGAGAGAGAGCGATATCTCGAAATTCAGTTCCAGGATTATCTACAAAACCAGGTTTATGTTAAAAGGTACGAATGTTTTTTAAAGGTTTCCTGCACTGAAGTTTTTGGTCCACACCTACATTAGATGGTTTACAAAACTCCAAAAGATGTTTCAATCCAATCATTTCAGAAAACCTGAAGCCCCTTAAAAAGCCAACAATAGGTTCTGGTTAGACTGCATGGTTTTGCAGGCTGGCCATGATTTATTCAGGTGACTTTTGTGAATCGAGTCTTTAAAAACACTTAAACGGTTTTAAAGTCAGAAAAAAAAGATGGAGGTAAATAAATGTAATAAAAAAAACTATTGCGAAAATCAGGAATCGGAAGTCTGTAAACAAATGTCAAAACTAGATGGTTGTTGACTTAAGTAGTAAAATATAAAAGATTTAACATTTAGTTCATTTTCATTGATCATTGAATTTGATGATAAATGCTACGTTGTTTTTCATTTTTACAGACTTGAACCAGCCGAAACCACAATAGCTGCTAGAAGGCGACCTAAACGTTCCGTAGCATCGGGCACATCACATGAGGTCAAGAAGTACACATATCAGTCGTCGGTGGAAGGCACGGTGACGGTGAACTTAACAACCATGACGCCGACAGTAGACACCGTGACGTCCCCGCCACCAGAAGATAAAGTTCCAAAGGGAGAAGTCAGCACAGAGAATCCTTACATGATGGCTGACGTGGTCGATCAGCGAAAGTTCATCATAACAAATCTCGGTCATTTTGAAGATTATAACATAAAGGTATGTTCGATGACCTCGATTTCTTCGCATTCTAGTTTAGAACCTTTGAAGAGCAAACTTCCTTATAGCAATAAACTCTTTCGTTTATAAGAATTTATTTTAGTTTCATTGGGTTGGAAGCTATGAGCTTACTGAAACACTCAAGAATCTGTTTCTAGAACCAACCAGTACTGCGCAATGAATGTAAAGTTTCTTGTTCTCGGAAATAACAGCTTGTTCTGATGGGGGTTTGAACGCATGTGGCAAGCAATCTTTAGATTACTAGTCCAATATGAACTCTTTACATCAATAGCATAATATCTTCCGAAATTAAGGCATCACAGAAAATGTAACTTTTCTAAAGGTCAGCAAAAACTCAAAGCAACAGCAGAAATCTTAGTCTCCCTGAGGAGAATAATGTGTTATTATTAGTGATGTTCCGATTGTCGCCAGTCGCCGAAAATCACTTACTGCTATGTAAAGCGACAATAATCGATTCGTAAAAATTTGTTCCGCGACGTCGTCGAAAATGTTTAAAGTGTCAAAGGGAATTATTCTGACGGTAATTTTCACCTCGCCGATCGCAAAAAATAATGTCAGAGACAATTTGGAGTTAAACAGAATCAATAAGTAATGTAAACAATAGTAATGTAATGTGATTTGAATGTTATTATTTGACATACATTGAAAAATAAAAGCTATTTCGTAAAATTATGACTATACAAGGTTAAAACTGTGTTGAAAAGTGTTAAATGAAGTTCATGTTACTGAATATAATCAAGTGCCTTGGGAAGAAATGTTACTTCCCTATTTCTTTTTAAACGCGACTTTATTCCAAAAGTTATCGATTATGTCCCATCCGACTGAACCGATGATCGATTGGGACAAATTTCATCCGATTTCCATCACTAGTTATTATGCTATCATACTAGTTTTCTATGTTAACTTATGGTGATATGTTGACTACCAGCATAAACCACTGAAAGAAACATATTCAAGTTTAATGACCAACCTGCAGTTACATTTTGTATGTTTTACTACATGAAATGACTTATGCCCATGTCTTGATTCAAACCTTTTAAAAGTCATTTGTGAAGGCGCACATGATTTTTTTTTTATTATAAAACTTTACCAATCTGTTATTTAGGCTTACTATACATTATGAAAATTATTGCCTTACTTTTTATCATTTAAGCTGTTACAGTACAAGTAGTGTTATGATCTAGATCAATCTGATAAAATATTAGTTAAAAAAATGTCATAAAAACATGTTTGCCTGATTTTTGTAAAAAAAAAAAAAAAAAAAAAAAAAAAAAAGAAAGAAAGAAAAAAAATATCTGCCTTAAGCACAATCAATACTTAAATTTGGTTTTATAAAATATTTAACATTATTCATGATGAGTATTGTTAATGGGTGACAACTTCATCTTTTTTCTAAATAACAAACCCTCAAAATTCCCATACCTGAGTGGTCCTGGTATTGAACATTTTTGGCCTGCTGATGGCATACTGATACTATACATGTGACCAGTGCAGACCAAGATCAGCCGAGACATACCCATGTAATCATGGTCTGCACTGTTGGCTATTCGGTCAGTACATACAGTCAAACTTGTATGAAAGACCACCTCTGATTTAAGATAATCCTGCAAATAAATGCATTTTTTGATAGCCCTCGATTGTTAATATAGAATAAAATAATCTATTTATAAAGACCACTTGTCTCTAAAGACCATGTTTTGTCTCTGGGTGGCCTTTGTTTACAGGTTTAACTGTATTTTGAATGATGAATGGTTTTGTCCAGACTGAATCATGGACAGGTCCATTTTCAGATCTTTAGGGTGGTAAGGGATAATAAATGATTTTATTTTGTTTGTTGAACAGGTTATAGCCTGTCATACAAGGGAGGCAGACAAAGATATGCTGTGTAGTAACCAGGCTCTCGGATTTGGCCGCACTTTACCCGACAGTAAGTTTATTAACATCGATAGTAAGTTTAATAACATCGATGAAATACTCGGAAGTATTTGTTTTAAATATCTATGAAATCCTCTTGAGTTTTTTCTCAACTACTATCAATACAAATTTAAATGTTAAAGACAATCTTGTAAGTCTTAAAACATAAAAATGAATTTTATAGGGTGTTTGTTTTATACCCTCACAAACAAAGTTTAGGGGGTATATAGGAGTCAGCTTGTCAGTCCGTCCGTCAGTCCTTCAGTTGACCACATCATGGTTTCTGGACGATAACTAGAGTTTGAAATGAGGTATTGTTATCAAAAAGGTAATGGTAAAAATAGAAAAAAAATTCTGGACAATAACTAGAGTTTGTTAGGAATGAGATATTGTAGTTAAACTTGGTGTATAGCAAGCTTATATGAAGATCCTGGTTGGGATTGCAATTAATTGAAATAATTCTTTGCACACAGTTGATACTTCATTTACTATAGGTTGTGTTCAAATTTTTCTACAGACCACTTATTTTTCAAAAAGTCTAAGTTGCTAGTTGGGGTATTAATCACCTTCAGTGATAGGTCTAGTTTAGACTGTTTAATTCCTTTTTCTTACAAAATATGATACTAATGATTTAGGATATTTAGATCGTTTTTAGAATGGTTCTGGGGATAATTTCTAATAACTGGTTAGTTATCTAGGAAAGCTGGTTAGATGGCTCAACTGAGATACGAGTATTAGCACAAGCATATGTTTAAATTGGTGTTAAAAAAAAAGAAAAAGAAAAAAAAAACAATATACTTAATTGTTTATTTACAATATATTGTTATGATTTCAGGCAAAGCAGACACGATTAATTCTAGCCTAGTTGATGTTAAATACATGGTGAACAAGACTGGCGCTGTACATATAAAGTGGCAGGATCCACCAAACCCTAACGGCCTTATTCTCACTTATGATATAGAGTACATGAATCAAAATATTAAAAATGTGAGTAGGTTTGAAATTTGTTTTTACTTTGATCGGTGAATTATATTTTTATATCCCCAACCTGTACAATAAATTTCAAAGTTGTTCTTTGGAAATAAGGTGATGTAGGGTGACAAGGTCAGCTTGAGCAATTTAGAGGCGAAATATCTGGAAACCGTTTGACAAAGTATTATATTACTGTAATTGAGCTGCAGGGAATACCAGCTGTGTTCATCTATTGAAAACTTATCAAAGTTTAAGCCATCCAAAGCAGAAATGTATAGAATAAAGAGGCAAATATTCTTGACGGAACATTGAATTAAAAGAATTTTTTGAAGCTCCAGCATTCCGAGTTTGAGTAATTGAAGTTTAACTTTATTTCATATTTTCAGGTGAAGCCAATCTTGATATGCATCACCTATGAAATATATCGTGATGTCGGGAAAGGTGGACATTTATTGGATAAGCTTGACCCTGGAAACTACACGTTCAGACTCCGAGCAACGTCACTCGCAGGAAATGGCTCGTGGACAGACTACCTATATTTTACAATAAATAATGTGGCCAGTATGTATACTTTTCAATTTTCACACTGATTTCAAGTTATAAAATTTTCTTCTATAGTCAAATTTATGTAAAAATGTCGACTTTACCTTGGTTTTTAAGCCCCCATTGATTGGAATGACGTAGATTTGCCTTAGTCTGGACGTCTGTCATGCTGTCCCTCAGTAGACTGACAAGACAGAGAATTTCAGGGGCATCTTTGCTCTATTGTCATATTTCTGTTGCCTTAACTTTCATGGACTTAACTGCTAAGATATGCAGGTATACCTTTCTATATACTGGTGAGCTAAATTATGACGAGGCATAATGGCTGCTGGCATTGCATGGGTTAAAAAAATAGTCGCCTAAATTCAAATGGACAGAGATAATGCATGATTTGTGAAAAATTAATAAATAACTATAGGGAATATTGTGGTCAGTGATTTTTCCCCTTATATAGCAGAGGCCTATATAAAGTCCTCTTCCCAATCATGCAGTTTTTCCCAATAATTCAAACTTACACCAGCTTTTTTACTTCCCAATTTAGCAATTTAAGTGATAATTTCCCCCAAAATCAAGAATATAAGGCCTCTTACTATTTAAGTGAGGTGGTGAAGTTTGGCCACAAAAATTTTGTGCAATTTGCAATTTGAAAACTGTAGAACTATTTTAAATTTTACAGCCAAAGAATGGCCACAGAATCAGATGGTTGCAGTCGTCAGCAGTGTTGTTGTTGTCATCTTTCTGTGCACAGTTGTAGCAGTCTGGTTTATCACTAAAAGAAGGTAAGTTTCCATGGTTACAGTGGTAACAATATATCATTATTATTTCATATTTTGTGTCTGAGTGATTAACATCTCGTAACTTGGTGCTCTCTGGTCCTTTTGCTGCTATGAGTATGATACATGCAAAATATTTATATATATTATTTCATATGCACATTCAAACATCTAAATACTTTTAAGTTTATTTTTCATATGCACTTTAAAACTTGTTTAAACATGGAGTTGTTATATTATTAATAAATATTTATGCACTCAATACTTAGAGGGGGTATATAGAATTGCCCTTGTCGGTCCATCACACTGTCTGTCCATAGACTGAGAGAAAAAATGGAATGTGGGTGCGACCATGTTCTATGGACTCATTTCTAGTGCTTATTTTCATCAATTGGATGTTACATCTGTGTTATTTCTGTTCAATTTCCATGTATGTAGTATATTCTAACAGAATTTGTTGTCTTGCGTGTAGGTTTGCGAAGCAGGTACCGGACGGAATGCTCGTCTCTACAAACCCCGACTACATGGCCGACTATGCAGGTATGTGTTAGTAATCAAACATGTATAAATACATCTTTTCCTCTACTATTTCAAGGTACAGGGCATTTATTAAAGACACAGTGTTCACGTCGGCTAACCCAGATTACTACGAGACATCTGGTAAGGTGATCGTATTGTAATAAATGCACTGTGTTTTACGTTACTCGATGAAAATGCCAGGATGTTGTTGTAAAATAAAAACTTTGTTGTCTGTACTGCACATTCAAAAGATCATATATTTTAAAAAAGTTGAAAAAAACATTCTTTAATAATAACATGGCTTTGATAAATCAAAAAACAAATTGTACTCCGTTAAAATGAAAGAAAATCTATTGTAATAATGTAAGGTATAGCACTTCAAATATTGTTGCACAATGATGTATACTTGTTTTTGAATTTGAAGAATTTCTCATGTTGTATTGAAAATATTGTCATGTTAATGCAATTAATTTGATAAAGTACATGTATATATAATTGATAAGACCGAGTTATTTTTACCCCCTTTTTATAATGATTTGAAATTTTTTAAGGTTAGTAAAATTGTACTAATGAGAAAGAGCAAATTTTATAAATGATTACAAGATATCAAAGAAAAAAAAGAAGAAAAGTTTGTTGGTACATTTTATTGAAAGTGGTAAGGGCACAATATGGAATTATCGCAAAACCAACTAAAATAGCTGCAGATTTTTTTCTTCCGAAACTTTCTATTCTGTTCCCGTAACTTGTCATGTATATTAAGTTTCATGGACATTCTAAGTAACAAATGTTTCAAGAAACGACCGTTAGGTTGCAAAAACAAAATAATTTTACTGTTTTTAGATTTTTATAAAATGTTTCATCAGATATAGCTTTTTACACTTTAATGTACATGTATATTGTTCACTAATTTTTGCTATGTACGTACATGTATCTACACTGTAATTTTTGCATGTTCAAGTAGCCCTGTGTTCATGTAGCACTGTGCTCATGTAGCCTGTAGCTATGTGTTCACATAACCCTGTGTTCATGTATCTGTGTTCACATAGCCCTGTGTTCATGTAGCCATGTTCACATAGCCATGTGTTCATGTAGCTGTGTTCATGTAGCCATGTGTTCACATAGCCATGTGTTCACATAGCCCTGTGTTCACATAGCTTCGTTGTGTTCACATAGCCTTGTGTTCACGTAACCCTGTGTATACGTAGACCTGTGTTCACGTAGTCCTGTGTTCACGTAGCTCTGTGTGTTCATGTTTATTGTTTACACTGTGTATTGTGTTACAGTTTATGAACCTGACGACTGGGAAGTGGATCGTGATAATGTACAGTTGATTAAAGAATTAGGTCAAGGTTCATTCGGTATGGTGTACGAAGGTCTCGTAATTCTGACACCGGGAGGGGAGAAAACTCCTGTTGCGGTAAAAACAACAAACAAAAACAGCAATGACCACGATAGATACCAGTTTCTACAAGAAGCCTCCATTATGAAGTAAGTTGAAATGTTAAGAATCGTTATTAGCTTGACTTTTCGTGGAATAGCATCATCGTCACACTGGTTAAGTTTTTCCGTGAAAGTTGATTTCTCCAAAACCATTGAAGGGAATGCATTGAAAGTTCACATACTTTAACGAATGCCTTTTAGTACCGCCTCCGTGGTCGAGGGGTTAGAGTCGATGCCTTCTAATCCAGTTACCTCTCTGGCATGGGTTTGATCCCCGGGAGATGCTTTGGTAGTTTAGCACGGAGGAAGGTAGTCTAGTACTGGTGTAACTCTCGAGGAACGATGGTTAGGAAACTACCCGCCTATATGACTGAAGTACTGTTGAGAAAAGGCGTAAAAATGAAACAAACAAATGCCTTTAACATGGATTTTGAAAGAATTTTGGCCCTTTTTGAACTTAGAAAATTCTATGATACATGATTATTATAATATTTGATTTATCATAATTTTATATTTGATTCATGATAATTTATATTTTGATGATAATTTTATATTTGATTTTATATTTGATTTATGATGATTTGATTCATGATAATTTTTATATTTGATTTATGATAATTTCAGACAATTTCAATGTGAACATGTAGTCAGGCTGATGGGTGTGGTGTCACAGGGTCAGCCTGCGTATGTATTGATGGAACTGATGCAGCAAGGCGACTTGAAAAACTTTCTACGTCTACACCGGCCCGATGAGGAGGTAAGACCAGCCTGAGAGGTTATAAAGAAATCCTCTATGCTCAGACTCAGATCTTAGGCATTTGATTGGTCAGAAGCTACCACAGAATGTTTAATGACCAATGAAAATCCTCAGATTTGAGAAGAAACTCAGAAAAAAGTTTTTTGTAACGATGATTTTCATTGGCTAATTGTGATGTTTAAATTATTAATATACTAGACTGCAGTAAATTTAAGAAGTATTTTTTTTTTGTAACACTTTCCCCCATTAAAGATATATTGGATCTATGCTTATCTTTAGGCAAAATACTATGATTGCAGAAATTTATTGAAATCTCCAAAATTCCCACATATATGTCTAATTTGACTATGTTTCATATATATTCAAGTCCCATTTGTATTTACTACTTTTAGAAATAAGGGAGGCTTCTGTGTTGTTTCTTGTTTTTACATGAAATCAAAAATTTTTCTCGCAGGATAATAATGGTCGACAACCGCCCAGTTTAAAACAAATTCTACAGATGGCCGGGGAGATTGCAGATGGTATGGCGTACTTAGCTGATAAAAAATTTGTACATAGAGATCTGGCAGCTAGAAACTGTATGGTAGGGGAAGATATGATAGTCAAAATAGGAGGTGAGCGATTTAATAACAGAAAATAAAATTTCATTTGCATGCCTTGAGATGAACCAAAACTTTTCAAGAAAATCGAACTTGAGCAATATGTATTGAGGTTTTATTAAAAGTAAAAAGACTGAAGATAAAAGTAATAATTTCCATGTTATTTGCGATAAATGACGGATTTTTCAGTAATTTTCACCATATTTCTACTGCGTTACTAACTGGCTAATTTGCATATTTTGACCTCTTTTTGATAATTTACATTGGTTGTAAGTGCCGTTTGCATTGTGTATATTATTTGCTTTGTCAGATTCACAATGTTTTACTTTTTAATACATTTTCAAAATTTCATGAAATTTAGCATGAACCTGGAGGTGTGCTGTTTTAAGGGCAGTATAATTATAAATATCACATCCAACTGAATGGCAATCCGTTTCATCGATCAAAATGCTGTGAAAACTGGTTGTATTTCCAGTCTGTAGATAAAAATAGAAACCCTTAGCCAAATCGGTTATTTTTGTTGGCACATCTTTTGCCTCGGATAAAAATGAAAACCCTGTTATTTCCCTCTTTACTGATGATAAGGTTTATTCACATTAACGAATCTTATTTTCTCAGATTTTGGAATGACTCGTGACATTTACGAGACAGATTATTATAGAAAGGGAAGCCGTGGCTTGTTACCAGTGAGATGGATGGCCCCGGAATCTCTAAAAGACGGTGTTTTCACCAGTATGACTGACGTCTGGTAAGTGGTTGTTTATTTTAGTAACAGTAAAATAAGTGGATTTTCTTTGGTTGTTGGGTTATGCACCATCACAGTATAGATCATATGGCGACCTTCCAGCTTTTACTGGTGGAGGAAGACCTTAGGTGTGCCTTCATACATTATTTCAGGCAGGAATGAGCATGTGAGTAGAAGCACAGACATTCTGTAAGCTAGCAGGATAGCTATCTCACATGACAGAAACCAAAGTCCCTGGCAGGATTCCAACCCACAGCAGTGAGGGGGTAGTAGTTTGAAGTCAATGACTTTAGCCACTTGGCCATGAAAACCCCTGAAATGATGGTAATGTTGAATAACTTGATTACTTAAGGAGTAGTTGAATATTTTACCATTTTATAAACCATATACTTGAGGCAAATGAACATTTTTCTTTCGCGTCATTATGAATTCTTATAATGTATATATATGTAAGAATTGCCGTTTTTGTTAAAACCTTATTAAAAATATTAATGTCATATGTTACACATATAGGTCATACGGTGTTGTATTGTGGGAGATGGCAACCTTGGCGGCTCAACCATATCAGGGCCTGTCCAACGAGGAAGTCCTCAGATATGTTGCCTCAGCCAAAATAATGGACACACCTGAACGATGTCCAACCAAACTGTAAGATCTTTGAATTATTACATCTTTAAAAAAAGATTTTGCCTTAATTATACAGATGTATATACAATTGTTCACTTTACGTTTACAGTCCATAAATTTTTCTAGTAAACCTTTCAGTCTCTTTTAATTTGCTATGAAGTACATACTTTTGTTGGTAATTTCTTATATTTGATGCATGAAAATTATAACTTGTTTCTGTTGAAGGTCATAATAACGAGTACATTGTTCAGAAAAATTTCTTACCATATAATTCCTCTGAAGTTATTGACCACAACTGTTGTGTTTTCAATTCACAATTCAATTTCTTACGTTATTTCTCAGATACGATTTGATGGTAAAGTGTTGGAGATACAGACCAAAACAAAGACCGACATTCAAAGAAATCATTGAACTGTTATTACCTGACTTAGATCAGAGTTTTAGAGACTGCTCGTATTTCTTCAGTGAAGAGAACGCCAAATACGAGGAAGCTAAGCATCATGGTGGGGCGTCGAACAATCGTGACGATTATTTAGAAACATTGGACGATGAGGAGGATAATGATCCTCATTGTCCCGTAAACGATTACGTTGACGAGGCTCACTTGCCGATGTTAGGTGTCGGAGCCTCAAACGGGCACAGTGTAGAACTTCAAGATATATTTAGCGATACTGGCTCATATCCTCATTATAGTAGTTCCCATAACAAACAGCATGACGGGTCGGCGGAGGTTTGCGATTGTAGTGTGATTAGAGAACAAGCGGGGGCGGCGGCTCAATCAAATATTGACTTTACGAGACAGGGCGTCTGCTCGAGCCCAAACAGCGCTATCGGTGGCTCAAGTGACGGGAGTAAAGAAAGTAGTAAAAGTTCGAGCAGTAGTTACGCGCACATGAACGGACTGAGTGTGGCTAACGGGCATGTTCCGTTACACTTACAACGGACTACGCCTTGCTAGCACAAGTACCCCCTCTCTTAAAAATGCTCAGTGTGATAAAACCATTTAAACTATAATTCAATAGTTCCCAATTTTTTTTAGTGAAAAGTGCAAGATTAGATTTTCATGCAAGATAATACAATACTGTGCTAAGAACAGTTGATCGGATTTTGGATCAACGGAATATGTGAAAATATTCAAAAATATTCATCAGTGAAAGTGAACTATGAAATTCAATAAACAAAAGTTTATGCCAAAACCATGTACTTAAATGGTAATTATTCATAAAGTGATTTCTACATTTGTGCCAACCAGTGTATTACGCTTCATGTTCTGTCTATCAAATGTTGACATTTTGTACTGAGTTCCAAAAAATATATATATATATATCATAGATGTGGGCTAGAAATATTATTTGGATAACTGAATTAAAAAAAAAACAACATCAAAATTTAGCCAAAACAATTCAAGATGGCGTATCAAACAAAGGGATGTCACTCTAGGTGCTTTTTTTGAGAAGGGAGGTAATTTTAAAACAATCAGTTAATGGACTGAAGGTATTCTACATTGTGATAATCAGACAATCAGCTATGACTTGCTGAAACCGTTAATTTCTCTACATTTGTACAGTATACTTCATCATGTGCTATGTTTTTTTCTATGTCTGCCTATGTGCGACACGACGGGTGAAAAGGTGCCAGTTGGGTAGGGGAAAAAATCAAAATTCTGAATTTCATTGTTATTCTTACATTTTTATCTTGTTTTCGTATTATTATTATTTTTTTTTTATTTATCCGCTGTTTTTACCATTATTTGTTTTATTGTCAAGAAAACAAAAACAGAAGATTTGTACCAATGTTTTCTGGAGTATAATTTGATTAAAACGTTAAGTATAATTTTATTAAAACGTAACACGAAAAAATGATTGAAAATAAACACAAAAGCGTACCCCCTACTGGCTCCTTTTTGCCCGACGTGTCACATGCACATTTTAATGTACCAAGAACTTGATGCGAACAGTAACAGTTGTGTACTTTTATGATTTTTAAAAATATTCTTTACAACTGTTCTATTGGTACCAGACCCTAGATATTTGATAATTTCTGATTTTTTTATATATATATGTATTTATTTATATATATAAATCATTTACATCATGTAACATACATCATTTGATTACTTGACATTTATTTGATACTCAGCTAGTCTGTTTTCCTAAACCATTTTGTCATTTATGCTGGAACAATCGTGAAATAAAAATATAAGAAATATTACTTTCTCTTAAATAGATAAAGTACATTATACTGTCCCCTCTTTTTTTATAATTATACAATTTGAAAAGTTAGTATTTTCATTTTACACTGATGTCAATTTTGCCAAGATTCTGACAATTTTGCCTAGATTCTGTCAATTTTGCCAAGATTCTGACAATTTTGCCAAGATTCTGTCAATTTTGCCAAGATTCTGACAATTTTGTCCAGATTCTGACAATTTTGCCAAGATTCTGTCAATTTTGCCAAGATTCTGACAATTTTGCAAAGATTCTGACAATTTTGCCAAGATTCTGTCAATTTTGCATTATTATTCTGTGTCAATTTTACTAAGATTCTGAAAATTTTGTGGATATTCTGTCAAATTTATCATTATTCTCAAAAAGCGCAGCGGAATGAAGAACTTATTTATTCTAAGATACTGTAGCTACCATGATATATGTGGGTATTTTATATTGAGATGTGACAAGAAAAAGATATATTTGTATACAGTCGTGGGTCAAGAAATATAACTAATAAAAATTACGTTTGAATTTAGGTTAGCTTGAAAAATGTGTGAAAAACTTAAATTAATTATATTGGTTTATATGATCAATAATCAATAGTTATTTGTAATATTACTGACACCATGCATGTCGTCTTTTATATTAAAAGATATAGTGTGTTTTATATTGTTCTAAAGCAATCCAAGTCGTTTGATAGAATCAGAGTATACTGAGAGAAAAAAATGTTCATGTGAACAAAATTCTTCATACCTTAGAACATGTTCAATGTGATTTTAAAGTCGCATGCCTCCAGATGAACCAAAATATTTTAAGAAAATCAAAATTGAGAAAAATCAGTTTTTGATTATCATGATTTTTTTAATGCTTGCGTTATAATATTTTAATGCTTGCATTTTCTAGTGATTATTTCAAGTTTGGACATTTTAGTAGGTATGTTGTTTGATTGGTTGGTATGATGTAAAATATATGTGTGTGAGAGAAAGGTGGGGTTGGGGAAGGGGGGTGACATGGAGGCGGGGATTTGGCAGGGGGGTGGGGTTGAGTGTAAGGCATCATTTTTTTGTTTTCATTTGTTATTATACTTCTTATGGCAGCTATTGCATTTTTATGTTAATCATCAACAGAAACTAATCATTTTGATATTAGGACCTGCATATTTTCTCTGTGTGCCTGTCCGTCTGTCTGTGCGTGTATGGTAACCGTTCATTATTGATATTGTCACTATTTATGAGTTAAATGCTGAACTTTTTTGGCTGAATGAATTTCTTTCTAGATTTGGTTGAAAGAAGAGTTTAGTGTGTATGTCTGGATAGTGTAAAACTTTGGTCGGGGAATTTTGTTATTGGCGCCAAAACATTTGGCTATATTTCAGTTTGATTAGTTTTTGATGTCGGACACCGTCCCAAATACTAAGAAGAAACAATACACTAGAAATCTGATGATTTTTTTTTGTTTTCTCATTGATTTATTCTTCCAGATATTCTATTCTGTTCCATCTAGACGGATTATATTCTGCAAAGAAACTGGACTATTGCACACTATTGTATTCTGTAATACATATAGGATGTGTTAATGGAGATCAGTGCATTTAGGTGGTTTAAAAATCTGCATTTATATGTCAACAGATCTTTCACCTGAAACATTTTATACAAATTGTTATACTCTGATTTTATCAAACTTCTTTACAGTATTGTTGTGCATCAGCACTTAATCGTGAAGTGAAACGGAAAAAATCTTCTAGTGAAACCTTTAATTTGAAATATTTTTTCTTATGGCTAAAGCTAATTTTTTTGGATGTTTTGATATATATATCAAATAAATTTGATTCTTTTTATATATATATAAAAAAAAAATGTAGCGAAGATTATATGGGGAAAACAAATTTCATGAGCAGTTTTACAGTTACATGGAGAAAACAAATTTCAGTTTTACGGACGTGAAATACAGTTACATCAGTACTGGTTACAGAATATGGACCTGTGTAATATGAAAATACAACATTTATTCTATTTTCATCACTCTCTTCATACAGTTACCATCGTGTATATACTATACATGTATATATATGAAAACAAAAACCAACTTTTACTGATTAAAATCTTAATTATGTATGTAATTATTTATTTATTTCTCGCCATTTTGTAATATATTTTCCTCATTATATGTACCTCGTGTAAATGTTAGCCCGAATGTTGATGAAGTTGTTTCTGTGTTTTAATTGAGAGCTGAGCTATTTTTATACCCCCTCCTCCCCCGTGTTTAGCTTATAAGCCTTGTCTAATAGGCCATATCTGGCATTATAATTTATCCAAATATGTTTGTTTCAAGGCCCAGCATGCCTGTATAATAATTCTTGTCCCTTTATAGTATTTCTTTCTTTTTGGTTATGTTTAAATTTCCTTGTGATTTTAAGGATTTTTTTGTTTCTTATTTCACTTTATAAATTACCTTGATTAATTGTAATTTTAAGATACAGTTTTAACCTTGTTACATGATAGTTATTATAAAAGTAGAACAGAAAAAAATACATGTCATGTTGGGTCTTTAAAAAGTTGAAGTTTTGCCTTATATTATTGAATGTAAAAATAAGAAAGACATGATACCTTTTGACAATATTGATAGAGATGAAGTATCATTTGAGCCGCGTCAATCCGTGCAGGCTGGTCTGGATCCATGCTGGTTGCAAACGCACTATGTTGGTTTTGTCATGAAGCGCCTCATTTATTATTATGCTGAACTTTGAAAAGAAAGAAAAGTATTTTTTGTGTAAGATGTTTAATAATATATATTTGTTTGTTTTATTTAGATTCAGGTTTTTTCTTTTACTCTACTTGTTATAATATTATTTTTAATCTTGTTATGATATTTCTTGCCTTTGACACATGTTTTTTCCTCATTTTTTTCTTCTTCTATATCGGGTATAAATGACAAGTTCTTATGGGTAAGATGTGGGTAAAAGAGTTACATTTTTTAAACTTGAAGGGTAATAAATAACTTGTTAAAATTTCTGTGATATTGTCAAAATAGCGGATGCTTTGAAAAAATTTTTTTTTTTTGGATAATGTTAAATTGTAAGTTTCTGAAAATTTGTAGTATATTAACGGGTGTTTGAAGATAAAAAAAGAATTAAAAGGTAAACTGTATACATAAAATTACAAACTTAAAATTATACAAGAATTTTATTGCATTTACAGGGTCTTAATTTATTTAAACCATGTTCAAGGTCAATAAAAGGTCAGAGAGTACTAGTTTTGTAAGAATTGTGGGTGGGGTTGAGAGAAAGCAGTAAAGCTACACTTAAACTTTAATAAGGATCATCTGACGACCATCTGACCCATGTTCTATCAATTTAACAATCATAAGTCTTATATGACCTTCATCAAACTGAGACCAAGATTTTACCATCTATATTGATCAACAAATTGGTGATATAAACTTTACGGCGTATATTGTAGCTCAGGGGGAACAATCTATAGAATGCTGTATGGCATATAACCAAACCAAACCAAACTCAGAAATTTTGTTCACATATAAAAAAACATTTTATGTATATCTATTCACTATTTAAAGTTTGTTTTATTTTACCAATATTTTTAAGTTTTTCTAGATAGCTCAGGATTGAATTTATGGTTATATGTGTTTATTTGTTAAAGTTTTGCCAAAACTTGCTGGGGAAAAAAAACAACAACAACAAAAAAACTTGTGAGCCAATATTAAGGCAATTTTAAGCAACACTTGTTATGTTGCTCAATCCCAGCATGCAATTCAGATAAACTGTACTCTGTGTAGTTTTATTTCTGAAAGGGAATGTTCTATTTAAGTAAGTTTGATGTAATGACTCGTGTATAAGTCGGGTTACTTTGTCTTTAAATTAGTGAGTAATTTAGAACCCCTGACTTATAAGTGATCTGTCTTACATGTGAATAAATTTGGCATAACAACTGAGGCATCATGGTTTGGAAGTAATTTCAAATCTTACAAAACAGAAACAAAACATGTCCTTTAGAACAAAAGTCACTCTTGTTTTTGCAAACATGTTATCTGGAGTTGCAAAAGGCATATTTTCTTTGAACCCAAGTTATCTCCCCTTCAACACCCTTAACTTTCTAACATTGTTCACTGTAGGATTGACAATGCTTTATCAAATAAACACGTATCATACTTATTTATTACGAATATTGACAAAGTGCAGGAGTTTCAGACGTGTAATGTTAAAATTTTTATAGTTTTGATAAAAAGTTGAGAGATTTTATAATATATTTAATATCTTGACCAATTCAAAATAACATATAAAGGACAAGAAGCAAAACATATCTTTATTATTATAATAATGAAAATGATAATACTAATAATGATGATGATAATGATAATAATTATAGTAATATGTTTTATTTTGCCATGTGTGAAGAAACAATAGTGCTGAATTATTTCATGTTTACATTTATTATTATGTTATTTTATTGTTAACTTATTTTAAAAGAAAAAGATCGGCATGTGTTATGGCTATGTTTTATATGTAACGCCAGTTAAAGGCTTCCCCATCATACATTGGAGTAAAATATTTTTTCCCCATTATTTGTATACTTATTTATGTTTATCATGTACATATGATCTATTTCTGATGTTAAATTACAAGAAAAATTAGCCGTACGTTTATATTAACGAAAATTACCGTATGAAAATAGAAACAAAAAATTGCCCGTAAGTTTATATTAACGAAAATTACTGTATGAAAATAGAAACAAAAATTGCTGAATGAATATTTTAACAAATATTGCTGTAGAAAATAGAAATAAAAACTGCCATATCACAATAGAAACAAAAAATTTCCATATGATAATATAAACAAAAATTTTCCCTTTAATTATATTTATAAAAATTGGGTTTGTTAGCATAAAACAAACATGATACGTTAAGAATTTCATGAATTGTGAATATTTGAACATTTCTTGACATGTCGTACACTCATTGAAACTTAAAATATTTAACACTTTGTTA